TGCATAGTCACATCATCGATAAACATGCGTCGTCAGGTTCCTACAGCCGGAAAAGCACTCGTTTCGCGAAAACACCGACCATCATCAGGAGGAAACGAGATGCGAGCAGTGGATTCTCTTGCCATATTTGTCGCTACAGATCAGCCTCATTCAATAAGTTCCGATCACATGTTCACCAACAGTCGAGTGAGCGTGACTTGGATTCTTTCCACTGTTTCTTCTGTAGTTTCTCATGCAACATAGCAAGCGAGATGGACAATCACTGCAACGAGCAACATTCTCAAGTCAACAACATACCTCCTCTGGAAATCGAGTTTCGGTGCTCGACCTGCTCGAAGATGTTCGCGAGCTCCGGAGCCATGTCCGAGCACCCGCAGAATTGCGGACTGACGGTGGAGCAGAGCCTGGCAGAACTGTTTCCTCACACTCTCTGTGAGGATTGCTCGTTCGGCACCAATTCGAAGAACATCCTGGAGTATCATACTATTTCGCTCCACAGCACCTACCCTTGCTCGGAATGTAGCGCGATTCTCCAGACGAAAAAAGCCCACATAGCCCACATGCAAGCCAAACACGCACAAGTTTGTCCCCATTGCAATATTATTTTTCTGTCTCAGCAAGCCTTCCTCGAGCATGAGGAGAAGCAGCATTCGAAAGGAATCACCTGTGACATGTGCAAACTCCAGTTCTCCGACGACAAGAGTCTCAGCTCACACATGTCGAAACATACTGCCAGGACTTGCTCCGTTTGCGAAAAACTGTTCGAAACTGTCGACGGTCTTGAGCAACATATGGTCGATGTCCATCCCAAAATCAACATGCTTGGCAAGAACGTTTGTAATTCTTGTTTCCACGTCTTCTGTACGGCAACGGCTCTGGCAACGCACTCCGAAGAGTGCACGGTGTCATCAGGGATTTGCATACACTGCGGCGAGTCATGTGGATCTCTGGAGAACGTTCTCAAGCACATAGAGACGAAACACGAGGAGATCGAAATCTACGAGTGCGCTTTATGTGCTCACCGTACCATAGATAGTACGGTGCATCTGAATCATCAATTGATACACATGGCGCTCCCAGCGACCGTAGGCAAATCGACGTACCAATGTAATCTGTGTCAAAAATGGACCACTTCAGCAGGATCACTGCGGACGCACCTCAATAATCACAACAAATTGAAGCCGTACCGCTGCGAGTTCTGCGAATTTACGACGTCTTCGAGCGGGAACCTCCGGGCGCACCGAGCCGTACGTCATCTGCACACAACGGATAGCGTCAAATGTCAGATTTGTAATCGGAAATACCGCACGGCGAGTCAGATGAAGAAACACCTACGGATGACGCATTATCAGACTTTGAATTATCAATGTGGTATTTGCGAGAATCGATTCGTGACTGAGCTGAGGCTAAAACGTCACTTGGCCATCGTGCATTTCGATGACTCCGAAGCGGTAAATGGCGATGAGCCTTACGCAGGCCTGTCCCGCTTCCGCTGCGAGAACTGTCCATTCAGCTCGTACTCGGCGAACCGGTTCCGTCTCCATCGCGCCACCCACCGCGACCGGCTTGAATGTCCGTATTGTGATCTCAGTTTCCCACTCCTCGACGTTCTCAATCGTCACATAAACGTTCGTCATTTCAAAAAGCACGTTCCCTGTCCAATCTGTGCTCGACGACTCCCGAACGAGGCTCGACTCAAACAGCATATGGAGGCATGTCATGCCAGTGACGAGAAGGAGCTCAAGTGTTTAACTTGTGGATTCTGCTTTGAGTCCATCGCGCACCTGGAGTACCATTGTCGGAGTCACTTGACGGTCAGGAACTTCGAGTGTCCTACATGTAAGAAGACGTTCACGACTGCCGCGTCGCTCTGCGTGCACCGGCAACGGCACACGAGGTTGGAGGTGGGAAACAAGGGAAAGACGTACGTTGGCAATTCGAATTGGGTGTTCTACTGTGATGAGTGCAAGCTCCGCTTCAAGTACAAGAGCAGTCTGTTGGCTCACCAAATGGTAGCCCACTCCGAGAAGACTGAGCTCTCGTGTCACATCTGCTCGAAGCAGCCCTTTGGCTCTAAACTCCTTCTCAGTTATCACATCCGGAAGCATTTGGAGGAACGCGCCAACACGTGCGAGTTTTGTCAGAAGAAATTCTTCTCGCCCGGAGCACTGAAAAATCACGTCATCTCAGTTCATACTAAAGCTTACGAAATATTCTGCTCGATATGTGATAAAGGTATGCTCAGTCAAGCGAGACTAGAGATGCACATGATTCATTCTCATCGTGATACGAAGAAACGGAGAACGAAAAAGCTCAAAGTTGTACAGGAAGAAATAGAGGAATTCCCCGAGCCGATTCCACTCGAACCGCATCCAGAAGAGCTCATGACGGCTGATGAGACGATTTTGAGTCAGGTAATATATTGAGGCATAGATCCGGCGTTTCCAACTGGCTCGCATTCTCTTATCATGAGTTCCGTCTCGCGAGATTCCCGACAGCTTCTCTCCGACTTCGAACGACCTCAAACTCTCGATTCCTTTTTTCCAGGAAATTGTGATTTCGACCATCGACGAGCATCCACCAGCGGAAGATCCGACCCCGATATCGAATGGAGCGAATGAGGACTTCATAAGCCGAATCCTCGACGATTCAGACCCTCAGCACCTCGTGCAGATAACTGTCGGCTCTGACGGGGATCAGATCGGAGAAGTTGATCTCACGGGATACGTCATGGAATAGAGAGAGGGAATGTTGGGACGATACGAATTATTGTAAATTATACAACGCGACGAAAGCTCATCGAGTCAATCGTCGTCATGTGATACAGGGCTCGCAGTCGGATGACGATAGGTAGCATTGGAGAAAGTCCGCCTGCGCCCAGCCATGGAATTTGTGCAAGGAGCTACAAAATTTCCTCATAAATCCACTTCACCCATTAAAGTATAGCGCTCGTTATTCCTGAGGTCTAATGACTTTATTGCGTCGATGAGAATGGCTGCGAAAATCAAAATGACTCGGCTGCTCGACAAAATAATCCGTTTCCTAGAAGTCAGCGCAGCCGAACTGATGTTTTCCGCGACCGGTAAATTTCTTTCTCGGTGATACGTATCCTACAGATGTGTAGATGACGTCGCGGACCGGCCAGCTCTCGAATGGGGCGTTGTGTTGATTCCGCTTGATTTCCGAGCTGGAGTCCAGGCTCTGGTCCGATCCGCTGACACTCTGAACTCTTCTATGTACAGTTGATGCCGGCCCTATTGTTTGAATCTCACAAGCGGTACTTTGTTGTGCACAGCACACTTATCACAGACCCACTCAGCAGCGATCTCCTGCGTCAGCATGTGGAATGCTGCTTCAGTTAGTCCAGTGCAAATTCTGTGGAACCAAAAGTTGCAGCCCGGCTCGCAAAATACGGCCTGGTCGTTGTCGTGCACTTCTTTATGACACACCCCACACGGGTACATTGCTCCTCCATTCTCGCGGCTCATGTATTGACCTAAAGGGCGGGGAAGGTATTCGAAGTTAGATTGCGGTAGTAAGAGCGTTCTTACTAATCTCCCCGAAAATCATGGCGAGCCACCGGCGTCCCGAGCCTTGAGGTCTCACCTTTCCCGGGCGGGAAATTCTTCGCTACATTTCCCTTGAGATGTGCGCTAGCATTGTGGCTGTCGTCGAACGGGTTATTGGCGATCAATTTCTCTTGGAAAGGGGTTGGTGGGAGATACAGGTTCGCTCCTTGATGCTGTGGGGAAGGACCTCCCAGAGGGGAACAACCATCCATTCGTCCTTGTTGTTGGGTAAGGACCCGTTGTCGAGATCATCGCATTCTCTGCGCATCATGCCGACCGTCCTGTGCACTGCAAGAGCACAGAAAATTCAGGGAGAGGTCCGGTACTTTGGGAGGCTCTTTGTCGGGGGAATGGTATCGGAGGCACAGAACTTTATAAATTTGAAAGCTTGCTATGAGTCTGAGCCGCTAATCTATTTTCGACGACCAGGATAGCGCGGTGAATTGACAGTGATTCTGTGCATTAAAGCTGCTGCTAGAGAGATGGTCGAGCGTGAAAGATCAGAAGATTACCCCATGAGGGGCTCTCTCGAATACATATCGACGTGAGCTCAAGTTCTTCAATCTCTCAATGAGGGAATCTCATGGCTGTACTTCGTGATTCCCAGAGCTCGAAAATACTCCATCCGAAAGAGACTCGGACTTGCTTCCCATCGGCAGCAACCGATTCGAAATCTCGATATCAAGTTTTCCGACTCGAGGGAAGAAGCCTCCGCTCTCAGAGAGTCTGGAGCCGGGGTTCGAGTTGAGCACTCAGAGCTGTGTCAGTATCCAGCTCCCCCAAGGTCAGAAGGCGCCGAACGGAATCAGCCGGTACGCTGTATCAGGCGGGAAGCGCATAGGGATACGAGACCCCTTTATTCTAGACAAGAGCGTTGGCGCTCTTTGGCGCCCGCATTATCTGTACGGGAGTTACGTCCACATTCCTGTCGGATATCCACCGGGAAGGAGCGAGCTTACCTCATACAGACGCCAAGCTCGGCGCGATGCTGGCACGGAATTCTTATGAAGGCAGATAGCACTGCACCGGAGTCGAATTTTAGCTCCAAATACCAAGGAACCCGTCACCGGGTCGAGTTTGTTGTGAGTCGCGGCCTTAGTGAGTAGAGAGCCTCAATGATTTGTTTGGGCTCCCCTCAATTGAGAGAGGGACGTGGAGAGGGGAAACCGCGCCGCGCGCAATTCTGAAAGCCCCAGAGCTCCAGGCGACTGTTAGCATGGAGAGCTGTGAACAGCCGACACCTAGAGTTACCGCCAGGAAAATTTTCCGGTCTGTTTCCAGACAGGGGTTTCCAGATGCAGGCTCGGATTAAATTGTATCATGCTCCGCGCAGAATCTGCTCCCATCAGTAATAAAGTCTGACTCACCCAGTCAGACAAACGTCCAATCTTCTCGAGGACTGGCTCGGGTCTGAAAAAGTCGACGATTCCCGCACTGAATTAGAATGCGGGGAATCGCCTTGAGTGCTGCTAAGATTGCTGCAAGCAAGACTCTCTAACATTTTGGTGTCACGCGGTGAGGTTCTACCAGAATTCGGGGAAGGCTCCAAGAACAGATGAATGACGGCATGACGCATGCGTCGCATTACTGACTCCGAAAATTTAATCCTGGAGTTATCGTCCTGGAGCGCAGAGTCCCGATGACACTCGATGCCCGGGCTCGCAGGACTTTCCCACAGTCGCGATTCGTGACGTTTCATCGTTCCCCGAGTCGTTCGCTGACCCTAACTCAATCTTAGGGATCGTAGCAGATTCGGAAAGAGAGTCAATAAAGTTGAAAAAGAGAGAGTGATGGACATCCGAGATTGGAGAAGGTTCGGGGCGCGAAACAAGTCCAATAATCCCGGAAGGCAGGGGCCTGGTCGGGCTTATCAACAGGGCTCGACTTATCAAAACGTTTGGGATTGATTTTTGAACGATTCTTCTCGGCTCCGAGGCTTGTCCCCGTACACTCCTGTGGTCGTCGAGATCACCAGGTCCAATTTCACCTAATCACACATCTTCTAATTATCTTCAACATCCCTTTCGAGTCGGACTCTGGGGCCGCTGAAGTGCGTATTTCGCGGGAAGGGCAAACATAGAGCGCCGTCGGAAAGTGCGGCAATGATTCGCGGCGAGCGCCATCTTGACCGCCAACAAAGTTCTCTCATGTAAACAAGTGGAGCCATCAGAGCCGAGTTGGAGTCTGCGTTGTTCGGCAAGAACTTGTTGCTCGTCAGTGTCAAATTCTCCATCCAGCGTGATTGTTCGACAAGCAATTGGAAGGTCAAGAAGCTTCAGCATTCTTCCCGCTCTGGAGCGAGGTCGCATGCTATGGCGAGTCTCGAGCACCACGTTGTTTGCCGTAGTTTTGATCTTTAGCTGAACTTTTGTGCTTGTGAGCTCTCCGTCGAATGATGCATAGCCCCGGAGCGCAGGATTCTTCTTGAGACTTCGAGTACGACCGGATGAAAATCGGCCAAGAAACGAGCTTCTTGGGAATTTCGTAGACTCTCTGCGCACTTTGAGAGATTCTTCCAAAAGGGGTCTCTCCTCCGGAACATACCCATTGAGTGAAACTTTCTGCCGAGGGTGATTCAATCACCCGCGAAACTGATCATAATGCCTCTGTCTCTACTCGGGAAGAAGTCTGCTAAGATGCAGGGCGTCAGGGTGTCAACGATGGATGCAGAACTCGAGTTCGAGCTCGAGGTGAGTTACATGGCTTGACATGCCTAAGGAGCAGGAGTCGTGAGGGTGCCTTCTAGTGATCCGTTCCCGCCACCTGGATAGGGGCTGCATGACAGGAGCTTCCTCGCTCGCCATATCGCCGTCCCCCTGCCCTATTCTTGACCCGATTAATGACTCCGGATATTTGGTCGTGGCTTTTGCAACATGCCTCAGCATACCCCATGAACATGTGTTGATATTGGAGTGGATGCTCGCTTGAGCATAACCACGGGCTCATCTGACTCGGGCGATTCGAGTGATTCTCCCGAGACGCTCTAAGATTCCCGGTTTCGGTGTCTGCGCCTCCCGTGTATCCTCTGCTGATTTGGGCTGTGTTCGTGGGAGGATCGGCGGAAATGATTTCCAGCCCTCAGGTATCGCGCAATCGGAGTCCAATCAGATGGAATTCCGGGCAACATTGAGTGCCAGTCTGATTTTCTCGTCGCAGCTATAGTCGATCCCATTATAATCGAGAATCCTGACCTGGACTATTCGGCGACCATCGCTTACAGCCCCTATGACGCTCATTATCACCTTGGACTGCCGCTCTTTGTGCAGAAAGCTGAGCGAGCTCCTCTCATCCAAATATGTATACCCGGACGATTCTTTTCAAGATGTAATCTCCTCGTAGTTGAAGGAAGTCAATGAGAGTCTCGCTAGCGCGGGGGGATTCGAGGCACGTTTGGCGAGTCGGGAAAAGTGATGCAGGCGCGATCGTTTGACGAGACATGCATCGATATTGTGGAGTCCCATGGAACGGCAGAAATATTTTCCGTTTTCAGCAAAAAGCAACCGGTCGAGACCTCTTCGAGCTCGTCTGCCGCACTATCGGTCTACGGGAGATTTGGTACTTCGGCTTACAATTTGTTGACGCGAAAGGGTTCCCGACGTGGCTCAAACTCGATAAGCGGGTCGACAAGCAAGATTGCAAGAAACCTTTGTCGTTCCTGTTCCTGGTGAAATTTTACCCCGAAGACGTTTGTGATGAGCTGATCCAAGAAGTCACCCAGCATCTGTTCTTCCTCCAAGTGAAACAAGCCATCCTACAACAAGGCGAGTGTCGAAAACTCGATCGATCCGCGGCGAATGTATCGGGAATTATTGAATTATACGTGCTTTGCGCGACCGACCTAATCTGTGAATTGTGATTTCCTGACACGTTGTTGACTTGCCAATGCTTACAGATATTTATTGTCCTCCGGAAGCCTCGGTTTTGCTCGCCTCGTATGCGGTCCAGGCGAAATACGGGGACTACGATGAGTCGACATACACGCCCGGTATGTTGGCGAACGACGACCTCCTCCCTCAGAGGGTTATAGATCAATATCAGATGACCCTTGAGATGTGGGAAGAGAGGATAAAGGTGAGCCCCCTCTTGAGCTTCTCGATGATCCTTAAGACTGCGGATGACTCCCAGATCTGTGTTCAGAGCTTGGAGATTCCGAAGTCAAGAAGTCTACTCCCTTGGTCCTCTGCAGGTGTGGTATGCCGATCACAAGGGTATGACGAGAAATGAAGCCGAGATGGAGTATCTCAAAATCGCGCAAGATCTCGACATGTACGGCGTTAGCTATTTCAAGATTTGTGTGAGTATATTCGACGAAACGTGTGCGGGAAACGAATAGGTACCGCGGCAGTACGGAATCAACGCTGTGTCAGTTAGGGCAACGCTCGTTCCGAACGTCGAATCCTCCTTGAACTGGAAACGATATTTCTTCGCAGAATCGCAAGGACACGGACCTGTGGTTGGGAGTGTCGGCAGTTGGTCTCAAGATCTATGATAAAGACAATAAACTCACGCCAATGATAACTTTCCCGTGGTCCGAAATCCGGAACATTTCCTTCGATGACAGAAAGTTCAACATCAAACCCGCGGATAAATCATCGCCAAATTTCCTTTTCTACTCCTCCAAAATCAGGTTGGTTTGCTCTCTCGACTCGCATAGCTCTGTGAATAAGCTTTGTGAATAAGCATATACAGCCCATGGCTTGCGAAGCGTTTTACGACTCGTCGGTCTCTCCCATGGCTTATCGATTTTTCTCCATGATTTCACAGATTGAATAAATTAATACTGGACCTATGCATGGGCAACCACGAGCTCTACATGCGGAGACGCAAGCCCGACTCTATGGAGGTGCAACAGATGAAGGCCGCAGCGAAAGACAGCAAGATGCGCAGACAATACGAGCGGAATCTCCTCGAAAGGTACTAATATCCTTACTCCATATCCACGCTCCGTGGCACCTGATTGAGAAGATCGGAGTCTGGAGGGGCGGCCTTCATGTTAAGTCCTTTTTAGGGAGAAGAAATTACGAGAAGAAGCTGAACGAGAGCGGGTGGAATTGCACCAACGACTCCTGATCTCTCAGGAAGAAGCTCGAGTGGCACACGAAGCTTTGCAGAGATCCGAGCAGACCGCAGACCTACTCGCCGCAAAAAGTAGGATCGCGGAGGAGGAATCCCTTTTGCTACAGAGGAAAGCAGAAGAAGCCGAACAATTGAAGCTCCAGTTCGAACGAGAGATGGCCAAATTCGAGACGAAAGCCAGAGAAGCGAAAGAGGCGGAAATCATCGCGCAGCAGGTCAGCTCTGGGGTCGGATCTCCGGATGCTTATTTGGAAGCCTCGATCCATGGGCTCGTTCGTGAAACCGCTTTCATTCTAACATTGAGGATTTTCTGGACTTCCAGTTGTCGGAGGAGAAGATCGAGGAAATGAATATGCTCCGGAAGGAACTTTCCCGACTGAGAGCCCTTCAAGCTTCGAGCGCACAAGTTTCCACCAACAATATAACTTGTGTCAGTAGCCCCAGCAGCAACGTCAGCGCCGGAAACAACAAACAATCTGGCAACACTAACAGCAGCGTTGGTGGAAGCTCCATCACTAACATTAATAACAATAGTAGCAACATGAACAACTTCAACTCTGTAAGCGTGAACGGGAGCGTGACCCCGGTTTCGTCTGATCTCGAGGATTCGTCCGTCATAACTCAATTGGCAGAACAGCTCGAACGCGAGAAGAGCTCGTACATGGCCAAAACGAGCAGCGTGCAGAAGCAGCTGATTCAACTCAAGAACGACATCCTGGTCCTGAAGAAATTGGTGAGGGTTTCCCTTGAGTCGGAAGAGATTTTTTTCCGTGGACTGAGTGGTTAGGAACGATCAGGGAGCCTTCGAAACCCGATTCAGATCATTCCTATTCAATATTCCAGGAAACAACGACCCCGATGGATCAAATATACGAACAGAAACAAGCGAGTGGTGTCGACAGACACGCGACGTATCGTAAAACGACCCAGGGTGCCACTAAGAGTCGCGTCGCATTTTTCGAACAGCTTTAGGGAACGCAGCAACATGGCGGGGGTGGCAAGCTTTGGCTGACTTGGCTTTTGCGAGCAGATGGGGCAGCGAGAGATCAGAACGAAGACTTGCCGGCTCAATAAGCATACTCCGTAACTTTTCGCCGGAGCCCCACAGTGTACATCATGATTGGATCCGGTTAATTGTATATAGCATTTATTTATAGTTGGGTGCCCGTGGGAATGGGCATGGAATGAGGGAAGATTGTTCCTCATGTGAGGGGTCTCGCCTCCATAGGGATGTAATTTGTAAGCATGACCTCCTCCCTGACCACGAGCGGGATTAACTAGAACGACCAGTTGGACGCCTCCATCCTAGCAAGAAAGCTTCCTGAGGGAAACTCCCCGGGAGGTCTCATGAAGGGGACACTTTTTGTGAATCACCGATAGCCCAGTCCGAGGCGCACACATTGGACCTACCATCCATACTCTAGCGTCATAACCATTTTGTGCCAAAAACTTGTTCATATACATAGTTTATTCTATCGAGTCAGAATATAACGATGAAGTTCCAAACTTCCCTGATGAGATGTGAGCGAGTTTTTTAGATTTTTCTTCTGTATAGTGAGCGACTCTTCCTTCTCTCAGGGTCGAGTGTGTGGCGATTCCGCATAGAAGGATGTCTTCGGAATTTTTGGTGGTAGGCGATGCCAGGTATGATTTCCGAACAACGTTGCCAGGACCACAGCGGTTGGGAAGAATCCTACTCCGAAGAAGAATCCTACCGGTTGAGAAGAACTGACACATCAAGGCTGACATTCGTCCAAGGCCGAATCAATCGCTCGCATCACCTTCTCCAACACCTACGTCGAAAATCGTAACAGCTAATGACTGAGCGAGCGGGGACTAATGAACTAGTATCTACAGTCAGCGATCGGGTGGGATGCGTTGATGCGATGCCGAAGTCTAGTCCTCCGCATCGAGCTTGCGATCTGGGGCCACACGTCAAGTGAGGGGTCGAATGCTCCATAGAGAACCCGGGCATTTTCGACTTCTCGCCGCGGAATCACCGAAGCTTTCGAGTTCTGAGGAGTGGATGCCTCTCTCAAGGTTTAGACTCACTGTAGTCGACCTCCTTGTGGGGCATCGAAAACTCATCGTTCTTTTCCCCGATCTTCCTGTCTCTAGGAAGATTGAACTCCGAGCTCTGCCTTCCCTGACTAATAATACGCCGAGTTATCCGAGGAGGTGCCGCATTCAAACTTCAAATTTGCGCTTCCGAGTCATCTAGGTAGGCGAAAACTTTGCGGGAGTCGTCCGCTTGTAAGTCTTCCGAGAGGACCTGATCGGAGTAGGCTGGGACACGCTCGATAAAATACGATCCTCATTTGATTCCCTTCCGATCAAGCAAGGTCTCATTCTGGCAAACTAAATTCGGATTCATGGAATATTTGGAAACCGATTCTCCTATCGCCGTGAGGAACAGTAGTTCATAATGGTTTTTGAATGTTCGACAGAAAACTCAATTCCGCATTCGCTCAGGTCCATTGTGTGATGCGAACACAGAACGCATCAGCTACAAACTTCCCGTTCGTGCGCGTCTTGACTGTATCCTTTGTTGTTCCACAGAAAATTCGTCCGTCTGGGATATTCCGACCGCAGCGCAGGATCCTCCTTCCTCGTTTAATTCTCAGACGACTCGAACGGCGCAAGACTATGAAGTCAGACCCACTGAGTGCCCGATCTTGAAATTCGTAATCAAACCTTGCTGTTCGTCTCCGGCAGCTCATGTCCTCGAGGGTAGCACGGTAGACTTCTTGCTCTCTCAAACTCTATTCTAGGCTTCCGTTCCTTCCTGATGATGTAAGATGTACCCAATATCGCTCCTGAGACTCTTCATGCAGGGAAAACTCCGATCGGAACAATCAGCGCCCGCAGCGTTGTAAAACCTCATCCATATTTCGAGGAATTCGGGCTCAGTCTTGGAGAGTCTCTCGTGGAAAATACGGATGGATGGGCACCCTGAACAGATTTTTTTCTTTGCGGAACAAGCATACCTGTATTCGATTCCTGCTCCTTCCGCCTACAGCGACCTCCGAATAATCTCCGTCAGCCTGCGCTCTCAGAGCGTATGGTCTCGCAAGATCCCATTCTTCAGAGGAAATGACTCGACTCTAGTCTGCTCTTAGAGCAATCGTCACGTTCGGCGCTTCGTCCGTAGTAGAGTGCCTTTTCTGAGAACGATGTGATTGCTATGGTTGGCGGACTCACCGTTCTGAATAAGTTTTCTCGCTAGCGCTACTTCCGATCGGAGCTTTGTATTCTTGACACATCCGGGGTCAAAGCTTGTCGTGAAATCGGGACGCTCCGCGGGTCGCATTTCTTTTGAGGATCTTTGCCAAAGCTCATTGTTTTCGGGAAGAACTCAACTGCGGTTGAGGCCCCGAGACAGCCGTGCCAGCTGCGTTAACTTTCGGTGCTCGAGTCGACACACAGTCGATTATCTGCGATTCCTCGAAGGAATCTCTAGGATATTGAGTTCATCGCGGAAGTCTTTCGACACACAAATTCCTTCAATGCTGCGTCAGAGAATGATGGTCCTCCAGGAGGCGGAAGTATGACGGGTCGGGCTGCCACTTCAGTCGATATTTCGGAACGCAGTTGGAGTTATCGTTCTCGAATCGAAGAGCTGGGGATTGATGCGATCAATGCGATTGAAAATTTCCGGCAAGTACATCGTGGATTTTTGGAACGTCTCCGATGGTCACCGCTCTGAGAGCATTGATCATGAACTTTCGCTCTGGAAGACGAAGACTGCAAATTAATAGCAATCTGGAATCTCCAGGATCGCCCCATCACCCGTGGATCCGCCTCTCTTGCGAACTAGGGGCTCCATCCATCGATATCTGGAGCCGAGGCATTTTTTCGGGTTTAGGAGTTCTGCTGGTATTCAATAAGGAGCAGGAAACAGGAGAGTGATGGTTTGAGAGAGCCGGCATTCTCGTCGATGGGTCATTTTTCTCGGGGTCAAGATATCAACGGAAGGCGCAGCGCTCTCATTCGCCTCGATGAGATCCACGAGCTTGAAATCTCGGATATACGCGATCTCCTTTCCAGAGCATCTCGTTGTCGAGAAACGCTTCAAGTCGTTGATGGCGTAACGAGAGCGAACAATCAACTTGATTTATGGCACCACTGAAGCTTTCCTCGCTAGTCGCCGAGACTGCATGTCTTGCACTCCTTCGTTGATTGTGGCCGCTAGGAACCTGACCCTGATTGCCTGAATTCAATCTATGAAACCCTCAGAGAACCAGCGAAATATTACATCGGAAACGACCTCCACTTTTGAGACCAGTTCGCGTCATCCGCGGTATCATGTCTTCATGATCTCTCAAATATTTCGAACTCCGAAAATAATAAGGAAACCCGTGTCGGTCTGCGTAAACCCTTAGCGCCCGATTAGGGTCCCGCGTCTTCATCGTGAGAGGAAACGATCAACTTTTTTTCTGCGGGCAGATATGGATAGCGATATCCCGCACACCGAACGGCTCGAATAACATACAACCTCTATAGTGAACATTTCCAAAAGGACATCGGTCGTCACATTCCCACGCAACGAGCTGGCGAAATCTATCGCTATCAGCTTGGGTCGTGCCTGCGGTTTTTTCAAATATACATGATACGATAGAGTCCTGCTTCCTGCATTTTCGGGTCGGCTTCCCTCTGAGTCGAAAAAGCCTGGGGTCGACTCCGTTCCGTGGACGGTTCTCATCAGCTCATGACAAGTAAGTTCCGGATACGAGAGTTTCTGCGACACCTCATTATGGAGGTGAGAAATTTTCCGCTGAGGCTCTGGATTGCTCAATTTTCGGGGACATACAGAGGGAAATCCCGAGGAACATGTATGGAACTCTCCCGATCCAACAAAGAACATCTCCCTTTCTCTATCTGCGCAAGAAAAGTATCCCTTTGAATGTTTGGATAATTTTTCGAACCGTGATATACATGATAATAAATATATATTATTCACATTATTAATCCATGTAATGTATCAAATATGGGATATGTATAACCATTATATCCTTCGGAAGAAAGATTGCCCCGGGACGAAAACTTTCGAGCCATCGGAAATCCTAGTCTTGCTGGATGAAGGTCTCGCTGAGCTCTTTGATTGAGTCTAGTACGTCTGGGTACTCGCGGGACTCCGGCCCAAGGCCGGAGCGGTCGCTCGCTCCCCTGCCCGAGGGCAATCGCGTCGGAGAAAGGTGGCGAAGGCCTCAAGAGCGACCTTTTCAGTCTACCGGACGATACACTTGCCTTGACGACATTTTCCAGTTCTATCCAACTGTCCAACGATTCCTCTTATACGTCTGTCCCTGTGCCCAGAGCCGAGACCCGAAACTAGGCTGCCGGAGGAAGAGCAGATAAAGAGTACTGATGAGACTAGGCATAGTGGGATCCTTCCACGTGTCACGTCGCTGCCTCCGTCGGTTTCGCTTATCTCGAAAGAACCGCAATTTTCTTTTTCGAAGAATAAGAAATTAAATTAAGTTTCCTTCTTTCCGATTTTGATCATTCCATGATCCTCGATCGGACTTTCGGGTATACCCTCGTGGTCTTCCTGTCGGAGAATCCCCGGGGGAATTCTGCTATCGTTCTCGTGGGAATTACATTCTCTCCATTTCGGGTACGATTGTAGCTCACTTCAGGGTTTCGGGATTCGGACAGACTTCCAAGTGCCCTGTTCTCGGAAACATTTCGAGATTCTGTCCCCATGAGAAATGTGGAGAATAACAGTCGGAGGATGCGTCAGGCAGTCGAAGCGGAGCTTGTCCCTGCATCAATCGAGGTTCCTGTGTTCTGACCCCTCTGCATCCCGGACTAAAGTCGGCTGGCCTGCGATAGTTACTCCACCTAAGCTCCTTGACCCCTACGCGACAGAACGGGGCCGGCGCGCGCCAGGGGTGCGTCCATGAAACTGGGAAACACATATAGGCAGCCCCAACTGGCCTCTTGGGAAGCGGGAATACTCATAATAATTCCCAGATTCTGGAAAACGGGGAAGAATGGATGAAAATGAAAAGCACC